AACACACATCCATCTTAACTTTCGCATTTATAATATTAGTAAGAAAGAAGTAAGATGAAAAATATGCTTCTAAATATTAAAAATAAGAGGAACAATTCGTTAGTTGAAAGAAAGGAATCCGTCAAAAGCTGCAGCAGTCTAAACAATGTTACCTGTTTCATTGAGTTACAGCTATATAAAAATAAATAACGACAGCTGTTGCATCTTTTTATGTGCCGGTGACTTTAAAGCATAGGCCGGGTGAACGTTGTGTAGTCTGTTAGAATAATTGCCCTCGAACAAGACGAGGCCACAGTTAATTCATTGTTTGATTCATATTAAGGGCCTCTGTACACGGGCAGCTTCTAGAAGTCGGCGATGAACTTTTAGCTCCTTTTTAGACAGTTGACAAAGCTCCGTATAGCGAACGTTTACTGCTGCGGACCATTTGGAGTCGTCGTTGACAACTGGGACAGTTAACCCATAAGGTCCGGTTCTGTTTTCACAGGCATATGACTGTTTTCACATAAAAGCAGGAGTCATCCACTGCTATCTATTTTTTTTAATCCGCGAGACACTCATATAAAAACGAAGATTATAGATTTCTAACCAGTAAAATGGTTCTTGAAACAAATATTTATTGCAATTAATTCCATGTAAACGCTAACTATAATAATAATTTTCCATGAAATAAATTCATAATGTTGCTACGATCTTTCCTTTTAATTTTCAATCCTACTCAATATAAATATAGATACTAGAGTGTACTTACAAAATAATGTTTGAAATATTGAGTTTCTTATATTTAATACTACTTGAGTGTACTTTATAAGTTAAGAATGGCTGGCTAATTAATTAAGTATTATAAAATGTAAAATACAACTTAGAACTTATTGGTATTAAAAACAATCTATCTATAATATTATAATAAAGCATAATCACACACTTCTTTGTTGCCTAAGATGTTAGCAATCACAGCATATTATCGAATAACTCTTTTTTAATTCCTTATATTTTCACGCAATTAAACTTAGGGGGTAAATATTTTGGATAAAAACCCTTATGTGGGAAAGAGACCATAAGTTGCTGCCAACATCAAGAAAGATAATTTGACAAATGTGAACAATAAATTTATAATTTCATGCGGATGAAGCCGCACGGGAACAGCTAGTAATTAGATAAATACCATATTGCATGTGAGGTATCTACTAATTGTTTAAAAAGAGTGATGGAACTCTATCATCAATCTTAATATTCAATTCGCATAAAACATAATTCGCCATCAGTAAAAAGAACGTAACAATAACTTTCTTAATTTATATTCAATGAGTCACAATCCGCCGCATAATATATGGAACCGAAGGCATATTGATAATAATCAGAAGTCGTACAGCCGATGAATATTATGTAAACCCCGGCTTGGATTATTCGAACTGGCGTGCTCAAATTTGTGAAACAAACATTTACTTACAACCTTGCATATAACAGCTTTGAAGTAACCATTTCATTCAGAAAATATGATGGAGTCATTCATTCAAGAGATGAATTTCTCTTATGGATCATGTACAGATAAGAATGTCTGCTTTCGAGGTTGGCTGTTTATCTCCCGTTGGTGAGCGCCAAACAATAAATTGCCAATGCCATAAAGCTAGTTTTGAATAATAATAAACACGTAGTCACCGGTTTTGAAAGTGCATGTGGCGCAGGTGGCGGACTTACTGAGCCAAGCTTTTGTGCCAATGTGAATAACGCAGCAACAATTGGCCAGTACGGCTATCACAATTTAGTTAATTCTCAACGATGTAATTGTAGTACGGGGAAAGTTTAAGAAGCGCTGTGCTTGTGCGTGTTTATGCCTTGCGTGACATGTAGTCGTCTAATGAATAATAAACAGCGTAGTGGCGACTCGCTACTCATTCAAATCTATGTACAAAAGGCAATATTGTTTTTAGCATAAAGCGATTGAATGTAATGCTAAAACGCCTACAATATCGGTTCCGATTCGCATAACATTACGAGAGTGACTGGCACATCTACAAGTCGCATAAAACTACCGTAGATACAAGCTGATCGCGGCAGTACATTGCACACGCCAACTTAAAATGTCACCGTTCTAAGCTTGCCGCAAATCGGTTTGCGTGAGGTCGTTAAAAATATTATTTTAATTACTTTTACTGTGACACGAGAGTTGCTAACGTTATGTATTTCTTTTTACTTAATATATTCATAAAGTTTTCCCTCCGACGACAACTATCGTCAACATTTCCGACGATAATGGTCTGTCTGCTATCTCCGATATAGAGGACTCAGTGTGAAGTGTATAATTGAATATCGATAACAGCTAAATATCGATACAGTTTTGGAACGAGTATATAATTAACTAAAGCTATGAAATGGTTTGGTAGGGGCACTGTTTAATGACTTTAGTAGGTAGCTTTTAATATTTATCTCAAAATCAATACTTTTCAAGTAAGAACGCGCGACGTGAGTGAAATAGGAATAGGATTACGAGTAGATGTCATATTATGCATATTACATATTAGTAAATCTATGAAGATTCATAGGAAGTTATGGCAAAATGTTTACACAATTTGTTGAATGCTAAGTTAATGGAATGAGTAGTACTTTAGTAGATCAAAGGTCAATTGGCGGCGCTTCTGAAAGAAGCTTTAGGATTCAACCGCCGCTTCCGTTTTCATTCTTTAAAACCAACAGCCATGACGTGATTCGCCATTGTCGCGGAGACAACTACATATACAGGTTAAGTGAAGTGAATCTATTAATGTTATGTTTCATATATACGCAATACGTTCTTTATTAATTGCAAATTCACTTGATACCGGTTTTATTGGTTATATTTATACGTCATAAAAAAATGATACAATTTACCTCAACATATCGAATTAATTAAAAAAAAAATCTGATTGTACCTATTTATTTAAACAAAAACTTTAGTAATAATCATATTTTATTATGCAATACCAATGTTTTTAAAGTTCGTCTCCAAGTACATTAGAGCAGTTTCGCAATACACATAAATTTATCTCGTCAATTGAATACACATAAAATTTCCAAGCCACCGTTATAAACCAGCCGGCGACATTTTGACGAGCAGTAGGCAACTCTAGATGATAACATTTGTAATATTCACTTTGGGTGTATAAACTCGATTATCAATCGCACTTCTGTTTGCTTACTAATAACCATAAATACATATATATGTGTTTCAAAGCGGGAATATAAATTAAAGCTCATGAAATTTATAATACTTGGTATAACTTCATCGAGGCGCAGCGGCGGCCGTCGGGACGGGAGTCGAGAAATTTGTAATTAAATATTAAAGGCGTCCATACACTGGCGGTGCGGTGCGACTTGGGATCTTACACTTGGCGCTTTGTTAGGTGTTTGGAATGCAAGAGAATGAGTGAGTGAGACAGCGGGAGTTGACTTCTGTATGTCCGGGGAATGTACCGTTCAGGTTCTACTTACGCAATTTGCATTGAATATTGCTTGAACAGTAGCGCAGCCTATCCACGCTTTCGAATCTACCTAACGTACTTTGCATTGGCAATTGCCACTAGAGTTGGAAGCTTTTGAGGAATTTATTTATATAGAGATAACTTAAGCATTCACCGGCATGAAAAGGAAGCTAACGACTCTTTTATGCTTGAAAGGAATTCTAATAGAGACGCTATTCCTAGAATCATAGCAAGATGATTTATTCAAAAACTCATATTTTCACTTTCTCTTACAATTGAAATTAAATTTTATGACTCCAGAAAGTATTACCTTCGATTGTTCCATTATACAATGGTGTAAGTTCCACTTCCTTTCTTTTACTTTAGTTTTATAGATTTTTTATGTTTCTATGCATAAAGAGTCCGTTTCATAACTAGGTTATTGAATGTATTAAATTTGTGTTTTGACAGCTTGTTAAGACTTTATTAATAGAAACATTTAGGAAAAGTCACTCAAAGTGTATTATTAAAGAGTCAGTTTAATTACAGTAATTGTTAGATTGTATTTGTGAGTTTTGTTGAGGTTCGCAAAGACAAATTTGTAATAGTGCAAATTAGTTCCCTTCGTAAATGTTGAGCAATTGAAATGGGCCGGCGCGCCGCCGCGTCAAGGCATTTCGATTTAGATGGATGCAAGTATTTTTACCCTTCTTCAAAAAAGTCGATGTCTTGCTCATAAATATATCAATATCGTATCCTTTAAGAGTTTATGTACGTCTATTTTTAAAGGGGACTACTTTTGTACAAAGAATGTAAACAAAAGACTCAAAGTAATCGTTTATATAAATATAAATCAATGTTTGTATGTTTGTGTAGGTTTCGCCCTTCACGTTCTTACACCACTAGACAGGATTTGACGTCATTTAGATATAATTCTGTTGAGAGTTTTGTATCTTAAAAATTAAATATATTTTTTTAGATCTGTCTTGATTCTAAATAGATCTCGTAGTTATTAATTTGCTAAAGTTCGATAATGCGAATATAATATCAACGAGACATGATTTATTTCTCGTGGTACATTTACGTGAGAGTGAAGGAGCTACAAAGCCATTTACAGCGAGCTCTACTTATCTTGCGGCGTGCTAGAGTTTGCCACAGGGACATCCTACAGAAAACAACTGAGAGCTTTTGCACATGCGGGACTAGCTGCCGAGTGCCAATGCAAATTAGAACGCCCAGTACAAAAGCTTTCTGTGCAAAACAATATACTTTGGTTACTGAAAATATTTGCCTACGACCTAACAAAATTAGATTCGATTTTCGGATCAAGCTAAAATCTACTTAGATACTAAAGTGTTTAAAAATGGTTTATTACTAGGAAACTCTTATAAAAGGGTAACATAAGCAGGGAAATTAATATTAAAGGAACAAATTACTGTTTTAATAATTTGTAATCGCCCACATGGCCATCAGACAGGGTGGTATTTATTCCTTGTTCTCTATCCTGCCCACGTATTAAAGTTACCGCCATATTTATAATGCTGTAAAAAATATAATACTCACAAATATCGAGTGCGAACAATCGCATGGCCCGCGCGAGCATCAATAGGAGTACCACCCGCGCCACCATCTCGCCGACTCTCCGCTCACTTCACCATCTCCGACATCGTAAACCTTAAACAACAAAAATTATTAAAACCAAGCCCTTTTGCATCAAACTATTAAAAGTCGTGAGATATTGAGAACTTATACGAGTAGCTGTGTTGTAGACTTCGTGCATAAAAAAATATATGAATGAATGCATTTATTTCGCGAGGAAGTCATCGAGGAGCAATGATATTTAAAAAAATCTATCCCACGGGAGCCAGATTTTTCTCGGTTAACATGTAGTCTATGCCTTTTTCCAAATGTTTTATTTCTGTGCCATATTGTTTCTTCGCATTTTTTTATTGGATCAAATCTGTAGTGATCTTTCGTTAAGGTTGCAAGAATACATAACAATGGCAAATTATTTCGATTTTTAAACTTTTATAAACCTGTTTGCTACAATGTGACTTTTAAATTTTCATTAAATTACGTGGGATTAAACTCTATAAGGATCACGGCAACGGTTAATTCTTATACGACGGAGTTTTTTGTAGGAAAGATAACTTTTTTTTTTTAGTAAAGTCTCATTCTTAGATATTCAATAAACTACTGCAGTAGTTTTTTAATTAGATGTTCATCAATATCACTATCTAATTAAGAGTTAACATAAACAGTTTTCTTCATTACTTCTTAGACTGTATGAACAAATATATTAGTAGATGTCTAAGCCTTTGTTTCGAAAAACAATAAAAAAAGAACTCAACTTAACGGTGGGAGCATACTGTGAAGACAATGTCTACAGTACTTAGGAAAGGCACTTGTCTATACCATACAATATAAGAATGAGCGACATTTTTAAATTGTCAAGACAGAGCCCATATACAACCTCATTTAATTTGATAATAATGTTTAAAGCTGCAATATTATTGAGAATTGCAAATCCTTTAAAAGAAACAACATCAATGCTATTTAAAGTAATACAAGTTAATTTTTTAATAAATACTGTAAATATACTATCCTCATCTGTCAGTCCTTTTAACAATCATAGAAAAGACAAGACCAATAAGGACATGGATTATAGCATCCACAAATATCAGTATAGACAGAAAAAATACTCCCACTTCAGACTAGTCTTTGTAAATCATAATATTGGATAGTAGACCAGTAGTTCTGTCAATTTAATAACTAATGCTGCTGCCAACCACTATTATTGTATTACCAACTATAGTACGCTTATTTATACTGTTGTAAATGATTTTTCAAAGAGAATAAAGGGATGACAATATTTTTAGTAGTTAATAGAATTCTGTAGTTACATTTTACATATCTTAACACAGAAAAGAAATGACAATTTTTTTATAAGACAAGAGACAAACTGGCAGTGGAAACCAAGTTGAACAACCGTGGACATTCCTTACATTTTTGAAGAATAATTAATTGTGTAAAGAACTAAGAAAAACACTTTTATGTTTGTCTATATAATTAAAATGTATTTATAAATTGACTTACACATATTACTACACAGATTAGTTAATAACTAACAATAATTTATTTAGATAAAAAATATACCTTGATAAAAGAAATTTGAATAAAAGCACAATTTAAAATTAAGAATTTAATAAATTGTTATATATTTATTTACAATTCAATTGTTTGTGAATTTAGTAAATGATTTGGTTGACAATAAAAAATAGTGTTTATTTTACTACTATTGATGTCAAATAAAATGTAGATATCTTTTTAATTTTAAAAGCAATTAGTCACTTAGCACAAAAACTAAATACATATTTCTAAACCAGTCATGGTTTAGTCAACTCAATACATTAATTCGAAGTTATTTTTGTTTTTCTTTATATCGCGTCAATAGGTTACCATTGACGCTAAAAATATTAAATTGGTGTTGCACATAGACGCCAATGATTGGCCGAAAAAACCCATTAAAAATAAATAACTTGTTTTAAAAAAAGAATAAAAACCATAATAGATTATGCTTTTATCGTAAACAATTGAACGAGTCAATTAGAGTGTAATTTAATTCTCTACTAACTTTATAGACTTCGTTGTGCAGTGGGTCACCTAACAAAGGAACAGCAGCAACCAATTAGAAGTCTTTAAAAGTTTATTATAAATATTGGAACAATATAAATATTATAAATTCACAAGTTACGCACCTTTAAGTTTCAGGAACGTAGGTGAAACCCGGTGACATGGGAAATAAATTAACATATCTCAGTCCACACACGAATCAAGTCACTACTCATCAGGCAATATTTAACACTTTTACGATAATTTCCAAAAAGTATAAACGATAACACTACGACGTTTAGTTATGATAATGCAAAAAGAAAGCACTGTAGTTCATAAAATAAATTAACTACTTTATTTCAACAACTATGCCTCGATCGCTCTAGTCGCTGCCAGATTTGCAGTCCGAGTCGTGTCAATTCCGTGGGACAAGTGTGAAGTTAGATACGATCACTTGCACGAACGTCGGCTCGGCCAATTCGGATGGCTTCTTCATAGAGTACTAATAACAGAGCTACCAGTTCACTAAACTTTTATACTCGTAGACGGGCTGTCGAGCGTAGTATTTTGTGCCTGTTTGATTTTCGCCATTTTGGCGCTGATGGTTGCGGTTGGTAGCGGTGGTGAGTATTCAAATTAAATAATAGATAGAAATGTAACTGTCAAGAATATCAACACTCAACTTCAATCGGAACGAACCAAAACCTGTCATTTTCAAACAAAGGCCTATCCATCTATGGAGACTGTGGTAAACTAGAATATATCGAAAAGTATAAAAGCTTGTACAAACTAGTCTAACTAATGTTATTTTAAAAATATGTCCAACATAAGATTTAAAAGTTGTAGGTTTTGAAGTACAATTTAAATAACTAAATGCACTGTTTTTTTAACAACTGAACCACACAAACTGGTCGGTTTTGTTATTTAGTCAACAAAATTGTGGTTTTCGTTGTATATCACTGACACGTCAATTCCGGTCATATCATCTGTGTTCCATTCGGTTATTTTGAATTTAAAAGAAAATGCTTTAATTAAAAGTTTGTTAATCATTTGTTTTAGGTGAATTAGTATCAATGATAATTTTGAAATGTAATACTGATAAACATCCTACAATTAAAGTAGATAAACATTGGAAACAGCATCTTTAACAACATGTTGACATACGAGTGGATACGAAAGATAGTAGGAACGGTAACAATGTTCATTAATTTTTTGTCGTTTTCTGTAAAAGTTAATGGAAGTAAAATCGATAAACAAAGCTTTATAAAAAGAACTGGAGATTAATGAAAAGGTAGCACACAGCACAAATGCAAACATTACGACATACAGTGAGCAAATTATAATAAAATAACTAAATGTTAAGAGGAAGGAAGAATGGCCCTTGGCCCTACGTCTTAGATATACTGCTCCTGTTTAAATTTGTAAAGTTGTGAATGTTCGCTTTATTTTACACTTATATTTGTTTATTGTTACATGCATTGTGTCTTAACATTTAAATGTGATTTTATTTTTTATTTATTTAATATTTACTTAGACTTTAGAAATTGTAAACAGCGCCATCTATTTTCAACGGTGATCGAATGCACAAGGGTGCGGTGCTATAGAACCTGTCGAGTGCCTGCGTCTGCGTCGCGTAGCGTTACACGCATCGGTAAACAACGAGTTACTTGGACAACATACACGCAAGTGCCAGTCACAGCACAGTCACAGTTGCCACTCTTTTGTGGATGGTGCTCTTGTGCGCCCATCGCTTTATGCATTACAATAATCGGGGGAAGCCGAGTGCTTAAACATTACCATAATGTAACTAAATAGCAGTGCAACTTCATTATAACTTCTATTCGCCTCTCTTCGCAATTAACGACAATAAACTTTAATACTTTCTAAAACGTATTTATTTCTCCGCGTGTGTTTCCTTTCAAGTCCGCGCCAACAAACCGTGTGTGTGTTTTAATAAATAATAATTTCATAGTTGTTAAGTTCTTCGACATGACCATATCATATGCTGGTGAAGTTCCAAACGGCAGCAGTTTCGGCTGTTTCTGGCGAATTCTGTGCAAGTAAGTTGTAGTTGTGTGTGGGTAAGCGAGGCCGTCGCGCCGACGACTACCTTTGACGGATCGGTCAAAACCCAAACAGCTGTTTTCGGCGTCCGTCGCAACATGACGAAATCGCAGCTTACCATTCGTTTTCATTCTATATCCTTTACAATATATGTTAACAATAGCATACACTGTATCTATAAATCTTTCAATTTTTTGGTAATTTATTACCAATCTTTTAAATTTTTCTTGCAACCCAAGGAGAGAGAGATAGAGAATAAGGAAAAGTAACTTTGCAACAGTTACTTTTTTAGCTTATATCTTTCTTTTATCATTGATTGAATGGTTAACGTTCATATTAGTTACAATAAAAATTATGAAGTTAAATTTTATATACATTTACTTCAGATGAACAAAGCACAATGCACCATCCACTACCAAATTAATTACCTAGGTTTATTATTGGGCAGGGGACGATATTAAAAAGTACCAAATTATTTATTTAGAGGTAAATTACCTTTTTTACTTTTATTAAAGCTTAAAATCAGATTTAAAAGTTATTTCTATGCAGACAAAGGGCGGCCTGCAGTTGACTTCATGAATATTTTCTTTTACTTATATTATGTTAGTTATACTATAATATCTTCTGCTACGAAAGAAATAGAAGAGATAATTACCCAATATCAGTATAAATTCACATTTATGTATAATTTCTAGTTTATGTGGGGTCGGCACAACAGTTTCATTCCCATTGTTAATCTAAAATCTAATATAATGTTGAAAAAAATTGTGTAATATACTTTTGTTTTAATTGTATTTATCATTCAAAGAACAACTATAAATATGAAGAAAAATAAACAGATTTATTTTTATATTATAATTTTGATTTGCAAATTGAATGAAATATTATATGATTAACAAGGAAAGGGTTTCTGAATAACAATTTACATACTTTGAACATATTGATTCTGACTAAAGAAAAAAAACCTTTTTATAATATCCATAAAATAGCATTACCAAAGATTTTTCATGTTTTTCTTTGTATGTATTCAATTACAATTGTCGAATAATGTTTTTTGGTGTTAACAATTTACTGCAGTTGGGAGTACTGCACCTGTTCTTATTCCTTGGGGCACAAAAATATTTATTTACCGTTAAATATAAAATTATCTCATGTGTACATAAATGATTGAAAAAAGCGTAATTTGTTATTAATTTAAGATCAAGGGCCAACGATTACATCGATTGCAGTCTCTGTTTTGTTTTACGGTCGGTCATAATATAAAATAGTGAGTGAGATATCGAATGACCTTGAAGGAGCCGTAATAAAGTCGATGTAATTTTGCCGCAATGTCGTCAAAAGAGCCGACAGGTGTCGAATCAATTCCTCGTATAGTTCATTTGACCCTGACAACGAAATGAGGCGAAAGTCACAGAGTACTAAAGTATAAATGCATGTCTATAATGTATCTATTCAGTTCCTAATTAAGCGAGACTAGTAAGAAATGAGTAGGTAACAAAGACTAAATAGCCAAGAGATGCCAAAACACTATTTGAATTTGCGAAGACGTGTGGTAATTTTTTTGTTGATTGAATAATATACTGTTGTCATTTAACGATGGTAGGTTTTTGAGCCGAGGCCGTCTAGATTGTCACAATTACAACCTTATATTATAGGTTTCGGAACTTAACTTTATTATATAGAATAGTTTAACGGTGATATTAATACGAATATGATGCAACTAAAATTGTTAATAATCCAATCTTAAGTTTTCAAATAGAGATATTTTATTATCAACTAGCTGTTCCCTGCGACTTCATCCGCATAAAATTATGAAAATTTTATTTTATTGTTGACATGTGTCAAATTATCAATTGAAAATGTCAAAATGTGTGTGTGTGTCAAATGTGACATGACAAACCTTGGCAACCTTGCTTTCTTGATGTTGGCAGCAACTTATGGTCTCTTTCCCACATTAGGGTTTTTATCCAAAATATTTTACCCCTAAGTTTAATAGCGTGAAAATATATAGCCAAAAGCGTGACGAAAGTGTGGGGCTTTTTATTAAAAAGAAGATTAATCAAAAATATGCTGCAATTGCTGACATCTTAGGCAAAAAAAAAGTGTGTATTTACGCTTTATTATAATAGCATAGATTTAGATTAATTTAATAACAAAGAATGAATAATGCTTCGCATCCATATACGTATTAAATCCGAGCTTCGCATACCAATACTTAATGTATCTTAAGTTCTTAAGTCACGTAACATAATTGTTGTTTACTTGACCTTTAACACCGTGGTAATGGACTAATTACGAAAGCGATCGCATTAGTCAACGAGCTAAGGTGAAAAGTACTTGTAGTTATTATATTCTTTGTCAACATTACGGTAAGAATTCGAGTTTATTTTTTGTACAATGTCCGCGTAACATATTATGCTAGATTCATATTAGTGTACTAGGTAGATGAGGTACCGCTATACATAGTTGTAACCATTATTTGTTTTGTTCATTTTTCGTACGCGGACTGAACGGTAAATGTATCAAGTCACATTGAAATATAGTGTGCCTCCGTATCGCATAATGAACTCTGTCATACACTCAATGGACTCAAACATATTTAAAACCAATGTTCTCTCACAACAAACTATTGTTGTCTCTGTGCTATTAACACCTCTTTCAAATGACAACCTAAAGACAGACAAAAGAAATGTATTACAGCTATTTATTGTTAAGTATTTTGTTATTATACAAAATTAATTAAAGGCCATTAAATGGTCGTATGTCTTCTACTTATTAGATAATGTAGTAATTGTAAAAATAATTAATTAAATTAAAAGAAATGGATTTATATACATCTTTTAGAAGGACGAAGAAAGCAATAATCGAGATTCCTTAGGATTTAGATTTTGGTTACAGTAGTTTTACATCTTTTAGTTTTACATCTTTTTTAAAACTTTTTTTAATAAACACTTGTTAAATACAACTTATTATTAGTTTTTACAATTAAATAATTCTATCGTTTTCTTAAGCACAAAACAATTAATTAACTACATAATTCAAATCGTTCCTATATTTTGAGAAGATAATTCTAGTGGATTTCAGTTTTGTAATATAAAATTGTACATTACGGGATTCTGTATGGTCTCTATTCTCTTCTACATTCATGTATTTACATAATACATACGCGGTTCGAGTCAAGGTTACTCTTTATTGCCCTTTTGCCTTTTTATTCACCAACAATCAGGTCAGATTTACGTCATTATTGTATCTTAACTTACTTTTCATTCATACAATACCTTCGAGATATATTGAGATTCGATCAAATTGTAGTAACATTTCTTTATTTAATAATTCGACAATTACGATAGTTTTATT